TAGGGAGCCCCGAATGAACGGCCACGCTCGGGGGTGAAAAGCGATTGCCCTAGGTTGTGCGTTTGGTGGGAAAGGCCCAGCAAACAGTTACAGGAATCTTTTTAAAAGAAAAAAGATACTAAAAGGTTGTTACGTGAGGTAAAAACATGATACTTGTAAGGTCCAAAACAGTGTACTTCTTCATCTCCAATGTACAGAAATCGTTACCAATGAATTCTCAGATGTTTCGGTTCTTGAACATCCTTAGTCCCATCATCCGCTGTTGCAAACTTAACTTTTCATACCACGCTTCATAAATGAATTATTTTTACTGAATTCATTTTACTGTTACTGGGACTTATAAAAAAAGCCTCTGGACTGTTGAGCTGCTATAGCAATGCTTTGCGGGTTTATGGGTACCTTTCCTCTGAGGATCTCTTCTGCAATTTCCAAAGATGAGTGCAGTTCTTAACACAATAAAGAGCACATCTCTGGTTGCAGTTTTGACACGTTCTGTTCTGTAAGTGGTTTCCCTGCCTACTAAATAATATCTAGAAAGGAAAATAGGCAGATAGGAAGATGTGTTACAAGTGAAACTAGATTCCCTTCTCATCTTAATTAGTATTTTTGGTTCTATAATACCCCATCATCTCCCTTTCATCCAGTTTTCTCTGTTGAATTCCTTCAGTATTGGATTCTTGTCTAGAGAATACATCAAATAATCTATAGTCTTCTAGGGAGCAATTAACACGTATGTGCTGCAGTGGTTTTGTGTGTACCTTAAAGAACACTTGAAAATGGAAAATGCCTGAACTATTTTAATATGAGATATGCTAATGTAGTTGCACTGAATGTATGGGAAAAATCGTTATTTAACTTTTTTCTGAATACAGGTTCATAACATTAGATAATGTAAACCAGCATAACGAAAACACAAACTGCTGTTAAGCATGGGAAAGAAGGGTAACATTAATCAAACAAGTTGCATAAAGTTGTGTTCATTTTTAATTTCTAAGTTTGGAAGTTACCTTTATATTATTATTATTAAGGGAAAATGTCCTGAAGATGGATGGGATGAAAGCACCATTGAACTGTTTCTTCATGAACTTGCTATAATGGATAGCAATAACTTCCTAGGCAACTGTGGTGTGGGTGAGAGGGAAGGAAGAGTGGCATCAGGACTCGTTGCCCGAAGGCATTACAGGTACAAATTATTGGTAATTTGAATTATTCAGATTTATTATTAATGCTTTCGAATCGGCATATTTTATTGTGTCTTGTTATCTGAGACCTTGATAGCATCTGAGAAAAAGTGTCATGCAATATTGAATTAACACAACTTTTGGTATTAAATTTTCTTCGATAACTTATCAGAAAGTCTTGAATGAAACAAAAAATCTTTTGTCAGTGTTATGTCCTGTATGCTGAACTGGTAGAAGCTCAAGATGTTCAGTTGGCTGCATGCAAGGGAAGCAGATATCTTCCTAGTTTAAAATAATCCATGCATTACTTGCCCTTTTTTAATGCTGTCCAGTTTTTTATCTGTATATTATTAAAAACCACTGCAAAGTGTAGTTGTAAAGTATCAAACATTCCCAGTCAACACCTATTTGTATTTTGTAATATTCATTAGTATCTTTATAATGTAATTAGTTGATGTGCACATGAAAACCTAGTCCATCTATAATAGATTTTATATGAAGTAAGCAGATCTATGAAGACAAGAAGAGCTTGTGATAGCTTGCAGCCCTTCTGACGCTTGATGGGTACATGGGATGCTATAATTCAAGAGGCTCTGCATTAATTTCTTTATGAAGATATGCTTTTTTTTTTGCATAGAGTTCTGTGCTGAATACTTTGCTGTGATGTTTTATCTAACAGGAATGAATCAAAGTGGTGTTTCCTGGAATGTTTTGCCTTGAAAGATTAACACAAAAGCATATTAGAGAGAAGAAATTTAGTAAGCTTTACCATATGGAAGTTGAATTACTTAGGCTTAATGGCTTTCATAAGCCCTACAGTACCATGAAAAATTAATGAAAAAAACCACCAGTATATCAGTTTGGCTTTTTTTTTTTTTTTTCCTGTACTGCTCTCTGGTCTAGGATATGTGTGGTGAGGGAGGTAGGGGATCACACTGAGGAGACTACGTGAGAAAGTGTTGCTTTCTGACAATGCTGGAGAAAGCATGCCCAGCTGCTGGACAGAGAAAGTGTGGGCTGGCATTTAGCTACTGTTGGTCTGATGCAGCTCTGTCACTTGGCATCTTGCCTTCACCTATGAGTGAGTATCAAGCAATAGCAAGGAAGGGGGAAGAGGCGTCCTCCACTCCACTTACTTTTGCAGTAAGTGTTACAGATAACTTTGGAGGTACGAGGAGTTGGTTCTCAAGCTGTCTTTCCTTCCAGCTTAATAAATTCTAAGGACCAGTTGGAGGAAGGATTACTCCTTGGGAAGGAGTACATATGTGCAGAAAAGAAGTAGTAGTATGAGAAAGTTATTAAGAACATAGCAGCAGGAACAAAGGAAGAAAATATTTTTGATAGAGTGAGGATTATGTGCAAGTTTCAGTTAATTATCAAGCTATTGTTGACTTCAACCTATAGCTTGAAATGGGAAAAAAATTCAAGCTGTAAAACTATGCTCCAAGAAGTTCTGAATTCCATATGCTCATCAGACTGCATTTTACTCTGTTCCAAAGACAAAACCAGAATTAAAGTCATAAATAGATGTGTATTGTTATGGGCTTACTTGAGGAGCTGGTTCATTTCATTCAAGGGTAAAGTTAGTTCTGTAAGCTTATATTTTATAAACAGTTTCAGGATCCTCCACTCCTGAAAGGTGCTAAGTAATATCCAACATTTATAAATGCCATTTATAAACATAATTTATAAACAGAATGCAGAGAGAGATGGTATTGCATGATACATAATACTGAATAGTAGAATGAGATAGATGAAGTGAAGATGTATCACTTCACTCATCTTTTTCTACATTACCCTAACTGTTTTTCAGGACATTTCGTCACAGTATATATAATTTCTTTGCCCTGTGGAGAGGAAGCATTAGTCAGGGGCGTATCTGTGTAATACCACCATGCCTATAGTACGCTACACTATAGGCAGCTGATTTTTGTTTTCTTTGGAGCTGTGTGTCTGAACACATCAGCATTTATAATGCTAATTCAATGGACATCAAGAAGTGCTGAAGTGCACTTAAAAGCAAGCCTGCAAGATTCTAAAGGTGTTGCTACTATGGGTCTTCTCAAAGTTTTTGCTTTCATACTGGAACACTGTTAATCTACTGTTAAATAAATAAAAATAACACTTTCATATGAATATATGTAGTTTGTTAAAATGGAAGTCATTAGGGCAGATATTGATTTTTCATTGGATACAGCATTTTCCACAATTGTTTATCAAATTAAATTCTCTTCAGTCAGCAAGAATTATTGCTTTGGGATGTGAAAAAACTTGATGTATGTTTTCATCCTTTTTTGTTTAGGTTGATCCATGGAATTGGAAGGTCAGGTGATATTTCTGCTGTCCAGCCGAAAGCTGCAGGGTCTAGCCTTTTGAACAAACTTACTAATTCAGTAGTTCTGGATATTATAAAGCTGGCTGGTAGGTGTAAATCTGAAAATATATCTCATTTGTGGGGGCACGTCATGGGTTCTTCACGTTAATTGCTAACTTGCTTTTCATGTACAGGTGTCCGGACAGTGACCAATTGCTTTGTGGTTCCTATGGCAACTGGGATGAGTCTAACTCTGTGTTTTTTAACATTGCGGCACAAGAGACCAAAGGCAAAATACATTATCTGGCCACGTATAGACCAGAAATCTTGCTTTAAATCAATGATAACTGCAGGTAAGAAGGAGCTGACTGATTACGCAGCATGTTCTAACAGATATAAAACTTCATCTAACAGAGTGATTGATTCATGTGCTTGCAATAAGATCCAGGAAAAAACCTAATGCATAGTAGTTCTAAGTGCTTTATTTCTACACTCCTGATTTCGAATGTTCCATCACACATATGAGTTGTCTTCTTAATGCCTTGTAAAACGTAGGCATGTGCTGAGCTACAGAGGTGTATAAAGTAGTCAATAGAGAACGCAGTACTAAGGAAGTTACAGTTCAGTCTTGGAGTTAGATGCCTAATTTGCTGTCCTGAGAATTATGTGAAACCAAGGCTCATGGTTCAAATCTCTCTCTTAGACTTACGCAAAAAGTATATGTGTCCTAGGAACTGTGATCAGAAGGTACAAGCTGTCTGATATGCATGTTCTTTTCTTTTAGAGCATAGGAAGTGTTAGCTGCCCTATTTGTTTTTAATGTTGCGGTGTCACACAGCTCGCTCAGGAAATTAGTTTGGTGCCTTTCTTAGTTCAAACTTTAATTTCTCTCAAATGGAATTCTTTGTTTTCCAGAGTATAAGTAAGCTAAGGGTAGAAGTCTATCCCTGCACTGAAGCTATCTCGTCCTGCAGACAGATGCACGAGATCAAGGAAAGGGCAAGTAAGGGGGACCATAATTTTCCAGCTCAGTGCACATACCTGCAGGTGGTGGCATAGATTGTGGTCCTAGTTCCTAGGACACATTTATTTTTTGCGTAAAAGACTCACTAGATAAAAATGACTAAAAATTGAAAGCAGGGACTGGACTCTATCCAGGTAGGATGCAGAGGTGTTTAAAAGGAATCACAACAAATAGAACATGTATATAAGAAGAGTGGGAATGTTTTTGGAATGTCATGCTGGTATCAGATATCTAACAACTATCTATTAAATGCAAACTCTGTCTTCTAGATCACTAATTGAAAACCAGACTAGGGCTAACAATGTCAATCAATCATTCTAGTCCAAGTTCTTCTGTAGAGTTCAAGCCTTACATGTCAGTGTTAAGGCATGGTATTGAGCCATGAAGGAAAAATTCAAATAGCTGCTGCCATGTTGCACTGCTTTGGAAATTACTGTGTCCCTTTTCCCCTCTTCTTCTCCTTTACTTCCATTCAGTTAAAATGAACATCTCTCTGTTTTTTAAGAAAGTAAGTCACTTCAGATAGAGTGATGTTACTGCCATGCCATACCTGTTTGGGGAAGGGATTAGATGGTTTCCAGTGTTTTATTCTATAAGCAAAATCTTCCTGATTTATTTATTTATTTATTTATAAGCTAGACTGTTGAGCAACTACCATGATAGGCTTCCTTCTTTAAGAAAGAAAAGTCTAAGTACTAGATTAGGTCAACCATGCCTTTGTCTAGATGAATCTTGAAAATCTTTGAGGACAGAGATTCCACAACCCCTCTGGATAGCAGTTCCAGTGCTGTACTATCCTTTGAATGAAAAAAAGTTTTTCATGATGTTTATTCTGAGCCTGTCAAGACAAAATTTGTTGCTGTTGCCTCTTTTTATATCCTACCAAGGAACAGAATAGAACAGAACAGTTGAAAGGGACCTACAACAATCATCTGGTCCAACTGCCTGACCAATTCAGGGCTGACCAAATTACCGGATGTTATTAAGGGCATTGTCCAAATGCCTCTTAAACACTGACAGGCTTGGGGCACTGACCACCTCTCTAGGAAGCCTGTTCCAGTGTTTGACTGCCCTCTTGGTAAAGAAATGCTTCCTAATGTCCAATCAAAACCTCCCCTGGCCCAGCTTTGAACCATTCCCGCACGTCCTATCCCTGGATACCAGGGAGAAGAGATCAGCACCTCCCTCTCCGTGTCCCCTCCTCAGGAAGCTGTGGAGAGCAATGAAGTCGCCCCTCAGCTTCCTTCTCTCCAAACTAGACAAGCCCAAAGTCCTCAGCTGCTCCTCACAGGACATTCCTTCCAGCCTTTTCACCAGCTTTGCTGCCCTCCTCTGCATGCATTCGAGTACCTTATTTACAATAAGGTGAATAAGTACAATAAGTACAATAGTTATGCTTCTTAAATTGTGGGGCCCATACAGTTTGGCTCTCTTGTCTTTGTAATTCCCTTTCAGATGGTTGGGGGCTGCTATTAGATATTTTCCTTAGCCTCTTCAGGCTTGAAAAGTCTGGTTTTTCCAGCCTTTCTTTCTAAGCTGTGTGTGCTATACCACAACCATCTTGGTACCCTTCTGATGGACCCTCTCTGGTTTTTCAACTTTCCTCCTGAGCAGTCCATTCTAAAACTGGAAACATTCTGGCAATTAGAAGAAGGGGATAACTTCCTTTTTTTCAGACATTTCTCATACATGTCCTTGAGAAACAACCTTACGAGGTTCAACTGTTGTACATCTTAAATACAAACTTGAACTGGAAACTTTAAGAAGTAAAATAAAAGACTTGGAAAATAGCTTGGATTTTATGATATGACAAAGTTCACTTTCAAAATGAGGTCAAACATGGACATTTTTATCTTTTAAGAAGTAATTTGGAAGTTTATAGATTGAAGAAGGCAGAGGCTTATGATGAAAGCCAATTCTTAATGATAATTATTGCATTGTTACATCTAATGGCATATCTTTTTTAGAGAGGCTGTTTTAGTATGCTAGTGTTTTACAAGAGTGCCACTCAAACACTTTCTTTTTAATTGGGAGGGAAGAGGTTAATCTTTTTTTTTAAAACAATCTTCAAATCCGTTGCTGTTGGGTGCAAATAATGTAAGGTAAGCTTTTGTCTGGAGTCCAGTACTTAACAAGAATGTTCTTGCAGTTTTCGGTTATATGGACATTGTACAATAATACAGTTTGTGTATCTGTGTTCTCAAGCCTGAAAGAATCAGATTTCTACTGGAACTAAACCCCCACAATTAGAGATTTGATGATACACATTCAGGTCTTGCTTTTTTTGGTAAGGTTTTGAGCCTGTGGTGATAGAAAATGTATTAGAAGGCGATGAGCTACGGACAGACATTGAAGCAGTAGAGGCTAAAATCAAGGCTCTTGGTGCTGAAAATATTCTTTGTGTGCATTCTACAACGTCTTGCTTTGCTCCAAGGGTACCAGATAGGTAAGTAGTCTTTCTAAAAAGTGTGTTATTTGTTACTGTAAAAAAACCCAACAAACAAAACCTCCATGTTTTGAATGTCTGTCTTCCTAAAATTGCTTAATTACTGCCAACAATTAGTAAAGATACTTTAATCCCCTTGCTGAAGGAAAATGTCAGGTTGAAACAATGTTCCACTTACAGAAAAGTATATTAAAAAGAGTTTCCTTCTGACATATAACTGAAGTTAATGTTGATCTCTTGTGGTGAAATGAAAGTCATTTTGGCAGTGGTTTACTTACTTTTCATGGAACTGGTAAAAATAGACTTTCGTAGAAACATAGTCCAGGAAATGTAGTTCCATAGCTAATGACACATTTTAATATTTGTTGCCTTTTCTACTCTTCTAGCCAATTGTGAGTTTTCTTAGACTGCTAATACCATTAAAAAAAAAGCTACAGCTAAATTTAAAATCTTTGCTTGAGTTACTCTTTCCTATATTATACTGATGTTTAATAGGGCTAATTGAGAAATACTGATATAAAGAAACTCTTGGAAGCATCTAGGGCAGATGTGCTGTATAACATATGATTTGCGCTGCTGTAACTTATCTTGGTTTGAACATTTGCTGCCTGATTGCCTGATGCTACTTCTTAGAATTTCCAGCTGTTAGATCACCATTAAAGGAAGCTTAAAATACATTGCATTCTTTCCTAATATTATGTGTCCATGTACATGACTTCTGTAGTTGCTACAAAGAAGTCATTCAAGTGCTAGCTGAAGCCGAGATGAACATTATGGTTATGGATGGGAAACAGAGTATCTGAAACATTGTTTCAAGGTGTAGCTTGGTTATGAAATATTTGAAAAACTTCTCAGTCTGAAAATGGCATCTTGGAGTAGAGCTGAAACACTTGGTATATTGAATTACTCGTCTGAAGTGAGCACCATTGTTATTTGCAAAACCTGCTTTCTTTATTTGCTTACAGAAATAAGTATCAAGAAGTAAATTATTTTGGTTTTACAATTGAACAGGTATATTTTTTATGGGCTTGTATGTAGTACACTGTAGTACACTGAAGTATGAGATATTAGTAAGATGTCTTTTTTAACATGGTTTTAAATGTAGTGTCTCTGTTGTTCCACTTTAATTGTTTTTAATTTATCACAAAATTGAAAAAACTTCTATTTAATTCCTCTGCAGTATATGCTTTTTTGTTAACTACTTTGTTATTTGGAAAATTTAGTTGAATATTTGCAAGTATAGGAAAGAAACATTATTGACTCTGAAACATGTCAAGTAAAGATATGTTTTGCTCTGTTTTCCTACCTTTAAAAAACCAATAGTATTAGTCATATGTTATCCCAGTTGCTAGAGGAGCGTTAAAACCATATAATTCTTTCGGAATAGTATGAACGTTGCTTGAAGTTGACTTGCAAATTTATTGTCTAACTTAAATCACAGCTATCAAAATTGAATGGTCTATTTTATAGCTTGAGTAAATGAATCTTTCCTTATCTGCCTCCTCTTTTTGACATGCAATTGTTTTGTCCTCTGCAACTAAGAGATGAATTATTAGGTAGTGGCACAGTGTTATGATAATACCACGGATATAGGAGGATTTGAACGCACTTTCTATTTAAAGGATACTGTCAACTATTGAAGGCCATAACATTAATCTTCCTACAGGAAGGAAAATCCCATACAATGTTTCTGGAGGGTACCATTTTAAATGTCTGTTTTTAAATATCTTACTTTTGTAAGGCTTTGTTTGGTTGCAGTGATGGTGCTTTAAAATTTTAAGTGGCCTAGGATTGTTAAAGGGTCAGGGTAAGTGTTTTATGCCTGTGTACCGATAGCTTTCTTTTGAAGTATTATTTAACTTTATGGGAATAATTCACTAGTGTATAAACCCCCTTTCTCAGAGAAACAGCAGTTCTCAGTCTTTGACCTGCTGTTGCTGGGAGTTGTCTCTAAAATTACTGCGTTTAAAAGAGAAGTAAAGGAAAAAGGTCTTTTTCAGTTAGTTCATATACTTAGCAGAACTCTGTATCTTGTTACTTTCATTAATATTAGAAGAAAGAGCAAAGCTTTCTTTTTATGAACTTCCATAAGCAGGGGAGAAAGAAAGAATAAGTTGGAAAATGTTTCTGTAAGTCTTGTTTGTGACTTTTACGAACTCCAGTAGTAGTGAAACTTAGCATTAATGCTTTCTTTTTCTGATATGACTACCAACACTTTTAATGATTCATTTTAAGCCTTGGAAGCAGACAAGTGGTGTGCAAAATTGTTTGCTTCGCTTGCTTAATCACATATTCTTTTCAACCTGTAGCATCCTCATCCTGCATTGTAATAGGGATCTAATTGTTCAATAGAATATTTTTAGGAAAAGCAAAGAGACTTTTCTGTTTTCAGTACTTGTAGAAGCTAGCGTATTGCTTGTTTAAGTCTCAGAAGGTGAGAAGGGCAAAGAAACATAGCAGCACACCCTCTGTGCTTCCAGTCCAGTGAAATTCTCTACCTGCGCTTGAAGCCTATAAGGGGGAAACTGTTTTCCTTTGAGTCTCTGTGGAAGGTGAGGAATGAATCTGATTAAGATCAGCAGATCAGAAGGTGAAAACTTTGCCCTGTGTAGTGTTTTGTTTCCTGAAGTATTCTGTTAACATTGTTCAGGATTCAGAATGTTGATAAATGTGAAAAATTATTGGACATGCAGCTCCTGACGAATATCTTGACTGTAGAATATCAATATATACATTGTACTACTGATGTTTCCTAATCATTAAATACTTGTGATTTCTTTAGGGGTAATACAGTGGTGATGATATTGTCCTAAGGACTGAGGTTTAGAAAATTTAATCTGAGGCTTGCAGCTGAATTTTGCATTACAAAATGACACTAGGCAATGTGATAGAAATAGAATGCAAAGGAATGTCACCTCTTGAAAAATGTTTTCATACTCTGACACATTTTATATCAGTGTCAGTAAATTACAGTGAGAGGCTGTACAGAAGGGAGATAGAGTAAAAATGCATTGAAGGTTTAGAGTTTCCTGAGCTTTTAAAATAATACTACCTTTATCATAATTTTAAATTATTGTATATTAACTTATTTTTTCAAATAGATTTTATTTCTAAAATATATTCACAAGTTTGGGGGAAATCAAGAGCTTCTTTAAAAAATAGAGCATGATTGGAGTGCTTCAAAAAAGGGTACTAAGTACATGTATGTTTAAAATGCTTGAAGGCTCTTACCCAAAATGACCTATGCACCTCATAAATCCTAGTTTGCCTGAGAAATCAATCCCAGTTGAGCTCACTGTGATTTCAGGGATTTCTAAAGGCAAGTGAAGGGCTGTCTTTTTTTCTGAGTAAACAGTTGAAGGAAGTTTTGATTTGTTGATTTCCGTATTTGGACATTTCAGGGCTCTCCATCCCTTTGAAGATCTTTTCTGTTAATCAGTTTATCTGAAATTTGCAAGTGAGATTTTAGCCCAAGGGTTGAAATGTTAGGTCTTTGAAATAAACAGAAGCATGTTAAAACTTCCTGTTATATGATGCTTTTGATTCCCAAGACATATCTTGAAACTTTGATTAGGCCATTTTCAGGTTGAATATTAGAAGAAAAAGAAAAAAAAAAGTGTGAATAGCTAAAACTCCGTTAATTATCATTAAAGTAGTATTAAAAAGGCTTATATCTGAAGCAGAATGATTTGCAATCTATTTACTGATTTTCAGACAAAGCCCAGGTCAACAATTTGTAGTATATATAAAAGCTAACAGAGTTTTCTTCTTAACATTTATAGCTTAAGGTGACAAATGCTGCCTTGAGGTACTGATCAGAAAAGTTTCTTTTCTCATTCTGACCTCCTTGTAGACCTTTCAATCTTTTAATGGTCTGATTTGTGACATGAGTTACAGTTACCAATGCTTCCCTAAATTACGGTTTTATGCTCATAGGCTGGAGGAACTGTCTGTGATTTGTGCCAATTATGACATTCCCCATATTGTCAACAATGCGTATGGAGTTCAGTCTTCAAAATGTATGCATCTTATCCAGCAGGTATGAGCTATCTATTTCCAATAATAATTTTTTTAACAAGTATGAGTAAATCTCTGATTGTAGACAACACTACCAGATTTTATCAGATGTTTCACAGCTTTGAGACTAATCCCATGCGTGTCTGATATTTGAACAATTGTCTGAAAAAGTGGAGCAGAGAGAAATAGAACTTTAAAATAATATTTTTTATTTTGATTATGTGCTTTTATTCAATAAACCCAAATTTATTTAGGTTTTGTTAATGTTCAAGTGTCTTTCATAATGGAAAAATGTCCTTAATAAGCTTTCTTAAAATATTTCCTAAACTTGTTGACTAAAAATAAAATAATGGATTGTACTTGAATAGGGATTAAGCCTTTGACAGAATGTGAGTTACAGATTTTCAATTGAAGGTACAAGATTCTACAGCAACACTTTATAGATGTTGTCACTGTTAAAATAGTGCTGGCCCAGGGAACAGCTGAGGAAACTTGGTTAGGTTCAGTGTTATTTTTGAGAAAGTTTAATTTCTGCTGCTGTTTAGTTTGAAGAGGAGGTTGATTAGTTTCTAAGATCAGCCATGAAACTTAGAATTTTTGCATTTTTTCTCATTGCAATGTATGTGCACTGTTTCTTCAGTATTTCTCTTTTCTGTTGCCCATATCAGAAGAATAGGGGGATATATTTTTAACAGGATCCAGGGGATCCTGAACTACTATGAATTTAAAATATGCTGGTAATTTTTTTCTCTAGTTAAGAAGACGTGTTATTAACTGGGCACAGACCAACTTGATACATGACAGGAACATCGTGTTGGCATTTCTAAATCTTGAGAGACTGGAGGAGTTTGATAAAACTTGAAGTGATATGTGAAACAGAAAATGGCATATGCTTTATTTGTAGTGTACTTGGTACATGTTTATTGTCTTTAACTTGCACAAGTTTAGTGAAATTCTAACATGACGGGGTCTGTGGAGTTGCTGAGCTTTACTGCATGAAATGTATCTAATGATAATCTTTTCAGATTATAAAGCTGCAAACGGAACTGTTATTGTATTGGTTTCTGTGTTTTTTCTTGGTTTCTTGATAGGTTGTTTGAGGTTTCGTTTGTTCTTTGGTTATGCAAAATGTATACATTTGAGCTCTGATTTGTTTTACATTTAATTACAAAAATTTATTTCCTTCATTAGAAAGTGTACTGTCTATGAGGAAGTAGTTATTAATGAATACTTAGGTATATGTACCTGCTGAGCACAGTGTGAACAGAACTTGCAAGAGTATCAGAGCAAAGAGTTTTTCAGACCATTTCATTTGTCATGCTTTTCCCCGGTGGTCTCCTGTCAATTAAATCAAATGATAGCTGCTGGCATTCATCTTCCCATCAAAAATCTGATAAGCTCAGAGTACTTCTTCCTATATCACATGAACTAAGTTATTAAAACATAAATATGAAATAACTGTGAGTTAGTTGGATCTGCTTTTTTTCACTCTTTTTGCCATAGGTATTTCTTGGTTTTGTAGTACTTTAATATGCATGTATTTTAATATAGTTTAATATGTATGTTCTTTAATATACTTTTTGTGTTCTGTTATACTGCATGCTTTTTAATTGTACAGTTCACAGTAGCATATTACTCAACTTGGAGATGTACTGCAGAATCTACATATTTTCCTTTAAGAATATCTGAGTGGGTAGGTATAAGGATGTTTTGTTTTCTGGTAAGTGGGGAAGTCTGCTATAGGAAGTTCTAAGGCAGGCAGCCTTTTAAGGAGTGCTGTCACAGCTCTCTTGTTTTAATGCAAATTAATACATATATCAAGAAAAATCTTCTTTTCTAATAAAGCATTAACCTGTAGCCCTTTACCATGAGAATCTGTGAGTGTTTTGGGTTGTACAGTTTTAACTGTATAATTTCCATTAAATTCCAAGGGTTTTCTTTTTTGTTGTTGTTGAAAATAAGCTACACTTCGACTTGCAGGAACTAAAATCACTATTTTAAATCATATCAAAATAGGAAGTTGTAAGGTACTATGTGAGCAGACAATGGTAATAATAGTGAGCAATGCTAAGAAAAGGTGATACTATGATGTTTAATTTTTCATCACAACTGCAATATCCGAGAGGCTTTCTGGAATTATAGTTATTTCACTTACATTGCTGTGTAATTGTGATGCTATCATGTGTGTCGTTTTTCCTAATGTATGCTGTGGATTTTTTTGTTGTTGTTCCTTTTTTGATAAAGGGTGCTCGACTAGGCAGAATAGATGCTTTTGTTCAGAGCTTGGACAAAAATTTTATGGTTCCAGTAGGTGGTGCTATCATTGCTGGCTTCAACGAGTCCTTCATTCAGGAGATCAGCAAAATGTATCCAGGTAACTAGTTCATGGACTGATTTCATCCATACAAAATAACTGCAGAAAATTTGTTTGTCAGCTTTCTTTCACACAAAATTTATTTTTGCCAATTTAATCTGTATATTGTTTTTTACAGGAAGAGCATCTGCGTCTCCTTCCTTAGATGTCCTCATTACGCTTCTATCTCTAGGTGCCAGTGGCTACAAACAGTTACTGAAAGAGAGGAAGGTAAGCTTTTCAGCAAGCAGCACCTTCTTGAAGTTACCTGTTAACAAAGTCTGGTTGCAAACTGCTTTGTGTAGTTTCTGTCTAGAAAGCTGTTGAATTTCTTTTGAGATCACAGCTCTGACTCTGGAAAGGCAGTATGATATAATTACTTCTTATCCAAATGGTGCTCGTGAGTAAGCATGATTTCCATGTTGTTCTACAAACCAGAAAGCTAAACTGAGGTCCTATGCTATCTTGTACAGTATTCATATTTATTGTTCTACAGTGTGACTAATACAGTAGAATTTTGCCCACAAAAGCTTAATCGAGAAGTACTGTACTATGTTATCATGGTCACACTGTTTCAAGGACTAAAGCATGAGATCGGACACTCAGAGGTAACCCAGGGGTTTCCGCTCTTCTTCATTTGGCCCTCTTGTGCCTTTGTGCTGTGATAGTGTTTAATTAAATGTTTGTGTACCACATTCTCTGGAGAATCACAGCTTCTGGTTAGGTTATAAATATTGTGCATGGCCACAAAAAGATAAAAATACTGTCATTTAAGGTATTCGTCTAGATAAAGAGCTAGGTTTCTTCTCTGACTCTCACAGACTATATATTTTATGTTGGGTATAACTACATTGCACAAACATTCAACTGGTCTAAGGTTGGAACCTGTACATCTTGAGTTGTCCTTAGTTCGGGACATAATACAGGCCAGTATTTGCTATCTTTATGTATAAACACAGAGGATTCTTTTTGCAGAGGGTTTCAGGTAAGGAAATGCTGTCAATTAAGTACTGTTAAATTAATAGTTTTAAATCATGCATGATCTGTCCATTATTTATTTATAAACTACGTTCCAATTGTTTTGTGCTGACAGCTCGCTGATGCCTCTGATTATCTGGCACAGCAATAGTGCTGGATGCTGTGACTTGTTTCTAGTTGCTTGTAGAGGCATTCAGAAATACTGTACTGGGACTGGAATCCCATAGGAATAGCTAGACTATAGAAAACCAAACCACCTTAGTGGCCTGACAACGACTAAGAGGCAATCTGTGCAACTAAAGGGAAAAGACAGCTTGTGAAACACTGAAAGGGGGTACCACTTTTGCCGCTATTGCAATACAGTTTCTAACATTTTATTCCAGGCTATTGTTTGTCTTGCCATGTATGGTTTGTCTCTTCATTAAAAAAAGCAAATTGTATTTTTCCCCCCTCATTTTCATCTACAAAAGAATCTCAAGTGAATTTATTGTGTCATCCGCAAAGCTGATTTTGATGTTAGATTTACACTAGCAGCAGATAGATAATGGGCAGTATAAATATTCTCCAAGTCATACATAATGATTCATAAATAAAATCTCTTCATGAATAGCTGTATTGCTTGAATCATGTCATTTTCTTGGAAGTAGAATTCCAAAGTGAGTAAAGCATTATATTTTTACAACTTCAGGTCTTTTTATTTCAAATGTGAGTATAAACACAGCCTTATATATGGCATAAACATGTTTCTTTTATTGGATTTCCTGTAGAAATAGAAACCTTTTTTTTTTTTTTGTTAAATCTGTTTGTTCCTGAATTGTAAAAGTGTAATAGTGATAGTTTATTGCCTGTGCTCTGTGAAAGCAGAGGCAGAGCTATTAGGGTCCCAGCAGGAGCTATTTATAGCTTGACATTGAGTACTCCTTTCTATATCAGTGCAGCTACACCTACTCACAAAAGTCAGCTATAAAAAACTTCAATTTTTTTTCTTTCTCTTTTTACCTTATCCTTATTCACTGGGGTGTTCCTTCAGGTTATTAGAGCTCAAGAGAGAAAGACCAGAATATTACTGAGAAGAGATTAATCTTGCACAACCAAGGAAAAAATAGTCTGCCCAGTTTTTCTTTTATGTGGATGAACTGTTTAATTAGGAAGGGAAGAGATTATATGAGGGAGAGGAGCATGTACATGGAGTAGGATTTTCGGACAAGCTGGAAGTCATGGAGTGTGCAATTGTCCAAGAGTATGAGACTATATGTTATGATGTGAAGGAGTAAAATGGTGCAATGGATCTGAGGACGGAAGAGCAAGGCAGTAGCACACACATGCTGTCCAAGTGTCTGAATAAAGGTGGCCTTATATGAAAGCTTAATACGTATGAAGTATTAATAAGTTTCAAGTTTTTCAACAGTCATATTTAGCCTTGATGCTTCCAGAAAAAGATGGAAGAAGACCACCAACAGTAATGTTTTCTCACTTGTTCTGAATTTTCAGAACTCCTTTTTATATGTTTAGAAAAGTGGATTTCTGATCTCAGTAGGGGATTCTAGATCCTTTTGTAATGCAGATAATGACAGCTGATCCACAGTAAAATTGGTTAATATCTTTGCTTTTAAAGGACCCATAGTATTATGTAAAAGTTATCTTTTTGTAGTGACTCCTTTGATTTCTTCAGTACAGGTTATATTGTGTCCCATATTCTGCATTGCCAGGTCTTAAAACTCTCTATTTTCATGTATGTATTTGTGTCTCTGAATCAGGCCACATGTAGCAAATACAGTGGTTACGCTGTAGTAGCCTAAGCAGTGGACTTCAGTTGTCACCTCAGAATTGATGGAGAGCAAGGACCCTACATTCAGGTTTTAACACCTGTTAACTATTTTCCATTTAATCTATTTATTATATATTTAACTAATTATTATACTGGTATTATTGAAGAGGTGATGGCTTCATTTTGTTTTCAGCAGTTATGCATTTCCTCCTTAGACTTTCCTTAACAATCAAGATCATTCTGATTTTCCTAAATGTATTTCTATGTTACTTGGGACATGATGGAGTTTTTTTATGTCTGTATCCATCTGGCTGTATGCTTTCTAAAAGTGATTAACTGGAGTAATTTTAATATCCTTATGAAGTACGTATCTAAAATATCTAAAATGACACTGAGTGGGAGGAAGCTTTGGTTTTTACAGTTCAGTAAAATACCATGTTTATGTTTTGTGATTTGTCATACTTGTAATTATTCTGATAGGAATAAATTATTTATACAGTTTAGTGTGAGTTTATATTACTGTTCTAGTTATGACTGAATTTAAGAATAAGAGAAAAGCCATTTAATGCTGGATATTAAAAAGGTAAAAAATCAAATATTCTTACAAGAAGACAGACATTTGTAGCTCCTCTTTTTTTTTTTTTTTTTTTTCTAGTCAGTTTACTACACTGATATGTCAAATGTGGGGGAATATTGCAGGATTTTCCTTCTGTGAAATATGTGGAACCATATTCAAATTTTCGAGTGGCTGGAGGCAAGATAGTTTAATTGAATGTGATCATTATCTTAAATGGTGTTGTGTAGTTAAACAAGTGACAAGTATGAACGGAAGCTTCAAAGAGGCATATGTACTCAAAGCATGTGTTGGAGAGGTATGGCCCACAAGGATCCTGATGTCAAGGTCTTGCAAGCGCTGAAGAGAAAATATGTTGATCGATGTTGTTAGAAAGACCTTTTAAAAACATGTATGGTGATTGTCGGCATTAGTGTTACTATATCAGGTTGGCAAGACTTACTGGGCAATTTCTGTTGGATAACTTTTATATGCTATAAAGATTTAAAGGTTCTGTAATTGATTTCATATTTTTAAAACTTTCCAATGTATTATAAATTCAGAACAAAATTCTTTATCTTGCAATGCAAGAGAATCTATATATGAGGGTGTGTGGTGTATGTAGGTATTACACACGTACACATCCAGTTTCTGCCGTGTGTTTGGCTGCATTTCAAGCAAGGAGGCCTTCTACTGGGGCTCTCTGGGGCAGGTACTAACAGGCCTCCATGCTTAGCACTGCAGACTCTGTTTGTCTGCATGAAGTGGGGTGCCAAGTGGTCTGATCAGATCATTGATCAGATACAGTTGGACAGTCTGATATGCAAAACAGAAGAGAGGCTATAATGGCTGTATTATAAACAGCCTCTGGTGCAAAGTCATTTAAGATGGGACCAGATCAGTCTCAGTTACAGCATATGAGAGTTGTCAGTCTGTATCTAGTTCAAAGAGGTTGTAAAATTACTCTTCTGCAGTGTGTTCTTCTCTGCCATACACAGCTGTATGACTGTTCTCTGAGGACAACTCATCTTTTCAGATGAGAGTGAAACAGGGAGGAAGACAGAGTGTTACAGACTTGGAGCATAAGCAAGCTGGGTGGTTAGAACCAGCTAGGAGAGTTTCAGCCATGCAGGAAAAGTTTACTGGCCTTCATGAGTTGTCTCTCTATCACCTGATGTGTGACTAATGGCATATTTAGTACTCCCATCTTCTGCTTTTTCTCTGGAGTTACTGGCTTTTTCCTTACTTGTTTCCCTCTAGTTATTTTAATTTGGAAGAAGAGTGCCTATCATGGTAGAGCAACAAATGAAGAGTCACCTATATTAGTGTAGGTTCTATTAAAAAATAATTTTATAATGTAAATACAGTATGATTGAAGTATTTTTAGTAATTGTTACAAAACATATTGAAAATATTTTTGTATACATATGTGGAAGTGGGCCATTTTGTTCAAATAATTGAATCATTTGGCACATTTGATGCATACACCATTGTTGACTTGTTCTTTGTATTGTTTGAAGTATTTTATCAGTTCAGGTGCTACAAAGACCAGAAGAAGTGCAAGACATTTTCACTCAGTTTAGCATTCATTTCACTACCCTGGTTTGGGATAAGTTTCTGAGGGGAAAGAGGGAACTAAATTATGAAGCTTAACTGACATTTAGTGCTTGAGTTGTTCAGTGCAACTTTAGCAGAAGAGTTAGCTTCATTGGAGAAAACTTGAGTGCCTATCACAAAAAATCAATTATGTAAGAGCTCATTTGTATATAATTGCTTAGGGTGCTTATAAACTTTCCACATAACAGAAGTATTTTATAATAGAGGTTGGTTATGGATTTGACCTCACAAAAATATTGCTTTTTTTCCTTTTCTTGCAAAGGCTCTTAATCTATTTTGCAGCAAACTGCTTAACTTCTGAAACTATAAAATATCTAGAGGGCTTCCAATGGAAAGATGTAAAATAGTCTCGTTCTTAAAAATCAGAAGTTCTGAATTTGTGTTCAGGTAGCTTCAGTCAAACTGATAAAAATACATACTGGATTTTTTTTGCCATCTTTCCATTCTCCCTTGTTTTAACAAATTCATATGTATGTAAAGGCTCATCTAGTAACCTGGGTATTTAATCTTAATTTGATTTAATGCATTTATACAGTGGGTAACTGCTTGTACCAACTTGCAGTCCTTTAATTAATAAATATTGTAAGAGATGCTATAGAGAATTCCCTAGTTACAACACACAAAAATCAGTTACTTGGGAATTTCTTCTGGTTCCAGTACAGGTTTTTCTAAGTACTAATTTCACCAATAATATCTCCCTAGTAGACACAATTTATATATACTTCTGTAATACTTTGTTTCATTTGTAGAAGAAAATAGCCAGCAGAGGGAGCACAAATCGATTTATGATTTGGATTCCAAAGAAATACTTAATAAAATGGCTAATACATTGGTGATAATCATTGTGGAGAGCAAATGACAATTGAGGAATGTGTTTGTATTCAGTGAGGGACCAGAAGCAAGGCAAAAGTGTCTGAACATTTGAAACATAAATGTTTTTCAACTTCTGCAAGTGAACTGTAAATAAACTCTGAATTGAAACCATTGAATCACTTGATTTACAAATGCCTCTGAAAAGTAGGAACGATTTTTTAGAAATTTCAGCTTCTGATAATCAACCAGAGATACATTCCCAAATTTTTGTTGTTGTTCCCAGTGTTACAGAAGCTTTGTGCTCTTGTTGATAGTTGAATCAATAGCCTAATTCATTTAGACAGTAAAAGGGTACTTTTTCCTCACTGGCTGAATTCATTCTATGGTAGTAGGAAGAACAGGTCAGGAGGTGTGTTAATTTGTTCACTCATGAATTGTGACTGGGTTTACTGCAGTGGCTCAAGAAAAGAAGCTGTAACATTCTTCTAAGTTAGCTACCACAAAGCTCATTTGGTTTCATGAGACCTTTGGGAGGTTCTGCTCAAAAAACATAATTTTGATCACAAGCTATAGTTTGTATCTGTCAGAGTGCATAGGTCAGAGCAGGATACTGGTCTACAAACAGAAGAGGCAACTTTATTTAAAGAATGAAAAATCACTTGTCAGGTCCAAAAATTGATGAGGATGCTGAAACAGGCAGTCGCATTGAAGCAGATGAGCAGCAGAATCTTTATGGCCAGAAAGAGGAAAAATCTGATTATTAGTATCTTTTAAAAAGACTACCCAGTATCTGTATCTTTTCACTAGAGACTAAGCATTAAAGACAGTGTAACAGAAGCCAAATGATAAAATAAGAAGAATGGTATTTATTCTCACTCTGTCTATAAGTGTTTTAGATGATATATGAAGAGGTAGACATTAAACCTGAGGAAGACCTCGAGCAATTATCATAGATTACTACTGGGGAAGAGGGAGGAAATAAAATAAGGATGAAGTAAAAGAAGCAGCCTTTTATGTGCTGTGTGACTTGTATCTGAGTAAAAACATTTATTATTCTCAGTTTTATGACACTTGCACAGTAAAGGTCCAGTCTAATTAAGTGATAGCAGAAATTCAGCTATCTCTGTTCTTTTAGTAGGCTTGAACAGGAGGGTTTGGTCCCGGGCAGAGGACTCGCTACACAACAGAGCTGAGTATTCAGGAGAGAATATATATTGTGTGAAACAAAATAAATTCAAATGTGTACTCACAGGCTTCTCCCTAAGAGACTGTATTGCCATTCTCCTACAGAAAAAGAAGTCCATGTGCTAGTGGTATTTGTGGTTGTGTGATATATGGTAACAAAATTTGCTACTTTTCATCTGGAATGTTTTAGTAGAGAGAGAATGCAGTAAGGAGCAATTTGCCATAGCCTGGCCATCTGTGGTGGTAACACTTCATTCTCTTGTCACTCAGGGTACTAGGGTGGGGGGGAAGCTCTTGCAGGAGTTTGGTGGCCATAAGACCTGCTGTGTAGTGGGTGTCTTCAAGATTTTATCTCCCTAGGTTTCAGGGCCACAGAAAGAATGACTGACATCGCAAGCACATATATTAGACCAGATAAGAGAGCTTTGTACTGGCTTGAGGGGGAACAGCAGTGTTAAGGAAATAGAGCTGTTCCTTTATAGAATGATTTCAGAGAATTGTCTAGTCCACTTACTCGGTACACATGAAAAGAGGGTCAGCTGGGCACCTGTAGGGTATAATGGAGACTTAACAGTTTTGTGAAATAGCTACTGTTTTCTCTGTTTGATAGCTAATAACAAAAATATTGCACTTTTTTTTTTCCAGGAGATGTTTTCCTATCTTTCAAGTGAGCTCAAGAAGCTGGCAGATAACCACAATGAGAGACTTTTAGACACACCACATAATCCCATTTCCTTAGGTAATCGTTGTTCTTTATCATTAAAAAAAAATTCTAATATACTGTGCATTCATAATACACTTTCACCTACAGTTCCTATATATTAAACATTGCTCACTACACTCCATTAAATTGTTCTTAGGCTGATATGAAACCATTGAACCCAATAAGGTAACCTACTATAAAAGTAGTGACTTGGGCCCTTCCTTTTTTTTTACAAAATTGCTCCTGTCTAACATGCTCATTTATTGTAATCAAGGGAGGCAGAAGATGTTAGCATGTAGTAATACTTTAGGTAGATTTAAAAATAAATTAGGGTATAATTATTTTACCCATCATCTTATAGTGCTGTAAGAGAGATTATGGAATTCCTACACACGATATTTGTTCTAACCAAAATTCTGCTGGACACCAAAGTAATATTGCCTACCTGTGCAGAATCTGCCTTACATACAAGCTAACCAAAGAAGTAATCTATGACAGCTTGTGGGAAAATTAAAAATTATGAAATGTAGTATTGATATTTCTTTTTTTCTTTGTATCTTAACACAAATATTTGGCTAGATTTTTACTGTTGGAAAACAGCTTGTCCTCTGTGGTTCTGCTTTGAAGAAAAAGGAACTTTGTAGTAGTTTGAAACTCACCTTTTGTTACTTTAGCCATGTCACTGAAGAATCTAGATGAAAATAATGATGCTGCTGTTACCCAGCTTGGATCTATGCTTTTCACAAGACAAGTTTCTGGAGCAAGGTGAGGACGCTATGAATTTGAAAAATTTGGGGAGTTGTATTAGCATGTATTTTATAAAATCCTATAATATTTGTTTTGTTTCAGTTGTCTCATGATTACAGATTACAGTCTGACATTAACGAGTTAGAGAGTAGTACACTCTTCTTCATCAGTGTTTTCTACTAATGATGTCTACCTGCCTGAGTTAACAATGAGGCCCCCTTTGTTAGCTTTGGTAGGCAAAATAGATACCCATTTAATTTTAGTGTCGTTATTCCCTAGTACCCCTTGGTTTAATTTAGCTTCCAACTGTTGTCTGATCTTATAGTTAAGTTGTAAGCTACTTAGGGAAGATCTTTGTTTTGTTTATTGCAGCACAAATACAGTTGTGCTGGATGTCAGGGGAATAAGCTTTTAATACTCTATACAGCTTTTTGTCATATGGAAGAAAATCCTGACTTTCCAGAACTAATTGTGTTTAAAAAAAAAAAATTAAATCTACAACCTGAGCCAGTCTGAGCTGAATTTATTCTCAGAGACACTGGTACATGGAAATGCAAGCTAAATAATTTTAAATTATTTTGGTTTAAACCTTTTAGAAGAAGAGAATGGTTTAAAATTTGTTTTGGCAGGATTCCTTAATCTGAATATCACTGCTGCCATGCTAACTTCTGCCATAGATTTAATGTAATTCTTTTGTAGCAGAGCTGAATGTTTCCACATCAGAAGGCATGCTTCATTAGCCTGGATTATTCCACTTCCTGCACAGATGAATGACAGTAAATCTATATGTACTGTAGTTAGATGCTCTTTTAAATTTCTCTGTCCTAACCTTGGCTTGCCCTGCAATTTCAGCCATCTTTGGCTGAAATTATTCAAGAGGTTTAATTTTTGAAGTTAAAGCTCTCCAGTTCTTTCTCTAGTTTAAAGGTTTTGGGTTTTCCCTTTTTTTATGTAAGCAAGTAATTTTTTTGTAGTATATACATTGTTTGACCTGGCATTTCAACAGATTTTAAATGTTATGCTTGTGCTGAATGTCGGTGGTAGGAATAGCAGCTCCCTACTTCACTCGCATACAGGCTTTTGCATAACCTGTGGTCAGAGCACTTGGACACCGGAAAGATCCTAGTGGTATTTATCTGAATGCAGTTTCTTTTATGAGCTGCAGGGAATGTCTCTATAGAGGTAGTAAATTATTATCAATTGATTGGTGTTAACTGCTTGTGTAGGTTTTAATTGTAGCCACAAGGCAAGTTGTTCCTTTAACAAGTAAGGATGTGGATTAGAGTCTTGATTTATCAGGGAATGGATGTGTACTGAAAGTGCTGAGAAACAGGGTGTAACAGGTAGAGGAAGAGAAAGGTGTAACAGTATAAGAAGTAAAAGCAGTGGCAAAAAGCACCCACAACCACAAGGGAATGAATATGAGGTTAACATCATAGGATGGTGGAAAAGGGAGATGCAGTAGAGAGAAATGGATGGCAGGAAGTTGGGATTAGAGACAGAGTAGGTCAGATAGTTAGGGCTTGTTATGGAATAGGAAAGTTTGCTGCAGATGTCTTTTCCCCCTACGCTGGGGAGTTCATAAATACCAGTAGTAAAGACCTTAATAATTTAACTGAGGAGCAGGAGGGACATACACATATGCGCACGGGCTTGAGCTAATTTGGGATCTGCTACTACTGTCACTCATAGTGATGCTTGGGCACTAACTTCGACAACCCCTTATCTAAGCCTGCTTACATTAACTTGTTTAGAGGTAGCAGATATTACACTGTATACGAACTTGTGTAAATGTGTTCATCATAGGGTATCACATAAGATATCCAAGGCATCTTTAGCTGACTCACAATTTTGTTTTTTGTTTCAGGGTTGTTCCCTGTGGGTCTGTACAAACAGTGAACAACTACACTTTTAAAGGCTTTATGTCACATGCAAATGACTATCCCTGTGCTTACCTCAATGCTGCCTCAGCAATTGGAATTAAAAAGCAAGATGTAGACATATTCCTAAAAAGACTCGACAAATGTTTGAAGACTTCTAGAAAAGAAGTAAAGAAAGAAAAAAGTGTAAATGAAATAAGTAATTCTAATACCGGCACAGAACAACTTGAAGACTAGAAGGTACAGATTTAGTAGAACAGGAAGATACACTTTTGTTTGAAGTATGTCAGGTTTGTATTGGGTTAGCCTTGTGAATCTGCAGTGCAGAAAATTTATTCCTGATGTGAAAAAACCAAAAGAAAACTTGGGTAAAATTCAGCTTTAAAGAAAGTAGGTGGTACTCTCTCCAAGACAGAGTGCCAGACCCCAGTTTTTTGCGGCATGTAAATGCACTTAATATCTGCCAAAATAAAGCTTTGCATTCCTAAAGACCTTGAGCTGGCCTTTCAGTCTGTGGGTGACTATTTGGACCAGTGTTCAGCAAATCACAGAATGCTTATTCATATGTTTTTGATTAACAAGTTTCTCTGCAGCAGTGATTTAATTCCTTCCTAGGTATAGACCATCCAGCAAGAAATGCTTCACTGCTTTCAAAATATCTCATGTTTCTCATCAGCATATTTGTCACTTTTCATTTCTTTCTGAAGATTTATGTAAGTGTTGGGTAGCCCTTGCTAAATACAATGTTAAAACCACCTGAGGAAATGATAGAGTTGGAATAGTAGTGTTTCCAGGTGTTGTCATCCCTCAAGAACTGCCTAGAACAAAGCAGCCCTCAGTGGCAAAAAAAACCCTAGAATATCTGATATCCTGGCAGTACGCTGCTCTTGGAAACATTTGCATAGTTCAGCAACCCAAAGGAATTTTAATAATGAAAGCAAGGGGTTGTGGAGTGGAACAGTCATTTTCTTTGTCTTTTTTTTTTTTTTTTCCTCCCCTGTTTCATCTTTTCTTTGATAGCATGATCAGGTCAGAGACACACTGAAAGGAGGAATGCCTTGTGGGATTAATGCAGCAGTTTCAAGAGCCAGTGAGACCTGAGAGTATTTTGGCATTTTTAGTCCATTGTTGTTAAAATGTATAGACTTCCTTTTCTGAGGTGTCCCTTGCCATTGGCACTGTTGCTTCTGTGGCTGTGTACAGTTGCTGATTTGAATTCATTAAGCAAACAACAGATTCAGAGTCTGAGGTTCCATATCACTGGAATGACAGTGCTGCAGGTTGCAAAACTTTTAGTTATTTTTTAAATATAATTACTACATTGTATGTATTTTTTATGTCATTTACTGTTCAAAGTGAGCTTAATGTTCAAAGACATTTTCTTTGCCTGTCTGTAATGTAGTGATACTTGGGACAACACAATTAATGAGTTCTAAAGGTCAGGAAAAGCTCTAGCTAATTTGTTTGGTGGGATCTGAGACATCTATCCTTCAGAGCCCTCTGTAAATTGCTTAATCAAAATAGGGGTGCTTTTGAAAGGATTGTCTATCCAGCAAGTTCAAATGAATTGACACTAGAGGTGATGTTAATATGTGGAAGTTAATAGCATGGTAGTCATCATGAAGGTGCTCGCACTTAGTGAAGTCCATTGTATCTTAAGCTTAAATTGAACTGCTGCTTCTATGTTGCTATTGCTACAGGTACATGTTAGAGTGATTAAAGCTTGTCGAGGTATGGCTCCCTGGACTACAGTCACAGTTGTTATGTGCTATACAAACACGTCCTAGGAGAAATGTTATGTAACTTGGCCACTGAGTCCTTGTGGCTATAAGGAGATGTGAATTTCTTTTATATCTGTTCCTCTCTCTTTTTTCCCTTTTTTTATATTGAGACCATTCTGTACCTCAGTTTTTCCAGTCAGTAAAGCTCTTCCACAAGCTTGGGAGCCAAAACTCTGCAGCTCACTGCCTCAGTATTCCTTATATTGGAGCAGCCAGTGAAAAACACAAGGCCTTGGTGATACCTCTCTTCCTGCCTTTCGATATTGCTGTTTTGTGCCTGAATGAGTGTAAATAACTGATTTAGATTACTAGTCACAGGATGCGAACATTAAAACTATTGTTACGAGAGTTTAGGGAGGTGCATGGTAGCAGTCAAAAGAAGCATTTGATGAATAATATCCTGAAACTGAATAAAGAAAACAGCAGTTGCCTTCTCTGAAAGGAAGAAAACTGCCTTTTATGGTCTCATAGTAAGTTGTCTGCTGCAAATAATTCACTTCTACTATAGATTGAACTGCTTTCTCAGGTAGCGTTTTTCCTGTTTTCAAAATATTTCCCATTTGGAATCAAAGATGAAAATTTCAACAGATCTCCATAAACAAGTATTCAGGGAAAGAATTAAGTTGTTTGTTTTGATTTTGAGCTTTTAAACCTTTATGTATTTAAAAAGGCAATTTAAGATTATGGCTTTAATTGAAAAAAAAAATTGTGTGTCATTAACGTTCTTCACAGATCTTAGTGATGCCCCCTGAGGTCAGGAAATGTAAAATATTTTTGTAAATGTGCCCCACCATGATGTATAAACTCTTGAACTCTTATATTAATGTTATATTACGTTGGTAAGCTGTTATACCAGTTTGCAGTTTTGTTTGCTTGCTTGCTTTGTCCCTGTCACTGTCTTCAGTTTAATTAATACTAATTTTTAGAGACAGAAGCATTATATAATGTCACTATGAATATAATGAAATTTTAAGTAATTCAAATGGCAGTATACCTGAAAGTAAATGGAGAAGACTTGGTTATTTACAACATATTTGAAACAGAAGATTCAGTAGATGATAAAAGGTATTTTTTCAAGGAAAAGTATAAATTACTTACATTCTCTTCACTAATATCTGTAATAAAGTAGTGAAATAATATTGGAACATACACCAATGAGTAGAGTTTTCATTTCCTTTGCATAACAGATATGGGGAGATTTCATGGCTATGGCAGTTCTTACCCACTAAAAGTAGTATTGTGAAAGATGGTAATGGCATGGGGATAGATTGGTCAACCTATGCAGAGTAAAACAAATACATTAACAGTATTTGTCTTCTATGAAGATCTTTCTAAGATTGTACAGTGAAGTAAGAAGCTTCTTAACTGTGCAGCCCTTTTCCTATCTCTACATAGGCACGTCACTAAAGGCTTCCACATACCTCAAAAATCTCCAAGAGCCAACTTGCTGTCTCCAGCATCCACATTACTAGTGAGACATCTAGGAAGGCTGCCTGGGCTTCAGAACATACTTGGGGTTCATACAGCGAGAATCCTTAGTAGAAACACCAAGAACAGATGCCCATTTAGCAAAGCCATCTCACAGATACTATTTATGTAGCTTCCTATCTCCATCATCTTCTAGGTCACAGCATGTGGTTACTAGCCATGAAACAGGAATGGGCAAGCACTTGAAATATTCCAGAGATCCAGAAAGAGAAGTTCAGGGGGTTACCATTCTCGCTACCCAGTCTGCTGCTCTGCCAGAAGTTACTGCTCGGTAGCAGAGGTGGCAAAGTAATCTGTCTGCTTGGCAGCCACTGCAGTTCATACAGTGTGTTAGCAAATACTGGAACTGGGGTGTGTTTCAGCATTGCAAGTATGAGCAGCAGTAGCTGTGCAGCTAGCACATTCCCCACTCTGCTTCTACAGAACGTGTATTCTACTGATACTTGCTTACAGATGACAGTAACCTTTGGCAATGGGGCAGGGTTCATGGGTAGGCAGGGACCCCTCAAACCGCTGCAGTCTGAATCACCAAAGTGAGTTTCCTCCCTTATGGTGCCTGTAAATGTTCTGTGAGATGCTTTTCTTTCTCTCTGATATTCCATCTTGTGCTATCTGGCTATACAGGTGAAAGAAATGAAGGAGCAGATGGACATGGCTTATAAAAATAGCACTGGGATAATATAGTGCAAGCAAACTGACACTGATGACCCATCTCACAGGCACACTCTTAGTTTACTTCTTTCGTAGTATCTGAGATAATGAACAAAACTAGGGACTGTTTGAGCAATAATACTGCCTATTCACACTTTGTTCCTAACCATTGCCTAAGATACCAAGCAAATAAAATCTACCAGATGCAGCAAATTCTCTTGAGCCTAAGAAAGCAAAATTGTAGTGTTGCAAATGTAAATGCTGGCATTGCAGCTTAATACACATATAAACCGAGCAATCTATATTGTGTGATCATCATTTTTTAAGAAAGGCTGGAGCCCAGAGACTAGCAAATGTTCTCATCTGCAGTGTATCAGCAGTTCTCAGTCTTCAGCTGCTGTATAGATAATAATTCTAATTGAAGAATCATTACATGAATCCATATGTGAATGATAGATGGGCTATAGCCTTTTGTTTGTGATGCTTTAAAAATTGAGTTGCTGTTTTCACTTTTATAAGGGGTGATTAGATTGCCTTTTTTTTTTCCCTTTTTTTTTTTTAATGCAACATTTTAATCAACCTAGCCTGACAGGATTTGGAATCTGAAGGAAAAACAATTCTCGTAGCTGACAATTTTTTTAAACAATAGCTATTTAAAGGCTTGAATTGGTTACAAAGTGACTCTCCACAGAGAGAACCTTTGTTCAAATGTTTTTAATTCTGAAACCAGTGCTTGAAAAATTGTGCTCTATAATAATTGTTTTTCATGTATTATACTTTTTTCCCTCAAAGATAACAGCATATACTTTAGTGTGGTTTAATAATTCTTTTAAAAAATCATAGTTAAAAAGGCATTTGTTCTGTCAGTCACCAAGCATCTGTCATATCAAAGAACTAGTAATATATTATCTTGATGGATAAGCTTCAGTGTTCTGGACCAAGTTCAGTGTAACTGGACCAAGCTTTCAATACTCCTTTGGGGATCCTAAAGTCAAGTTCATGATCTAATTAAGATCGGTTTGATAATTATATCTGCTGCTGAACAGGAGTCTTTCATCATACCACATTTCAACTAAATTCTTTAACATGGCATCAAAGCTGATCCAGTTCAGAAGCTGAATTGCTTCCTTTAACATGGATGGTGAAATTTAATTTGCCTTTAGATCCAGGCTTCAAATCCAGGCTGAGTCAGCTATAGCAAAATTATAACTGCTTTATTTTAACATAATGTGAATAGAAAGAATACAGTGGTTTCAGCTGGGTGATACTTTTCCTATTACGTGTTCTCAAGGAGCTGCAGACATTAGGCTACCATTTACGCTTACTGCTGGTTGGAGGGTGGGAGTTCGTCTTGTACAAGCCACATGCCAGCACCAGAGGTGTGTGCATTGTTAGTCTTTCTCTAGGCATCCTAAGTAGGAACGCACCACTTCACTGGGAATTCAGGACAATTGTCGTGTTTCTACTGAT